TAAAAATTGTCAAAGTTGAAATTTATAATAAAAACATAGTAAGTGGACTCAAACTTTTGGAAGCAACCGTATGTTAATTTATTTATTATGCTTAATTCTCTTTAAAGTGTTATTGAATTTGATTTTATATAATGTTATGGTTATATAAGGATTATATATTAATTCTTCAAAAGTTGAGATGGTTAAATAGTTGAGTATTACTTATATTGAGTCAATAAATATTTATATTCTTTTTATAGATATTTGTAAGAGATTTTCAAGCTGTAAAATATATAGTATACTGAAGTTTGTCAGGATTATAATTGTATTTTGCAGTTTGGTAAAGAAGAAACATATATTTGAGTATATTGTATTTTTATTTATATTATAGTCTGAGTACCTGAACAATAAAGATTCATTGTTTTGAGAAGTATAGTATTAATAAGTATTTGATTATTCTTTATAATGACTGCCTAGTAATATTTTATAATGATTATACTTGTCACTGGAATACTTTATAAAAAAATATTGATTGTGTTTGGATTGAGATATAGCATTGTAATAGTAAAGTGCTTGGAAGATTTTATAATTTAAGAAATCAATTGAATATTTTGTCTGATAATAATATTTTTTTAAATCTAATAAGTTGACATTATTGAAGATAGTATATTCTTTGTATATTTAGAAGTTGCTCAGTAAATATTAAGTTGTGCTTTGCAAGTTGGACATGATATTTATTATAAAAGAAAGGGATGATAATATCTTCAATTGTTGTATTAATTTTTTAAAATATGGAGATTTAATTATTATAATAAAATAGAAAGACAAATTTATATTTATATAGAAGTAACTCTTTCTGCTGATCCTCTGACCACACACAAAAAAGATGTTTGCAAGAAGTTTTTATACTTCTTTGTTAATAAAATCTTAACACTTTCATTAAAACAACTTGAAGTATGACTTCAAGAGTCGCTTCTATCCTTTCCCTCTTGTTTACAAACCTCTTCACTTAAAAACTTGACTCCTAATAATCAAGAAAAGTCAAGCAATACCTTTGATACCAATGGCAAGAAAATTCTCAAAGAAAGAAGAATTGATTAATAAGTATCTAAAGGCCCATTTAACCTTTGAAACAAGAGATATATAGAGGTTTTTGATAACAAAAGGGCTTATTTTTTCCTTTCCAGTCACTTGTGGATCTTTTAGAGCTATCGCTTTTATGGTTTTCTGAAGAATTTTGCCTATCTCAGTTTGATCCTGAATTTTTAATAGCACAAATTCTCATCAAAAGTGATTGGCTGACATGAAATATGTCAGTTTTTGAAATGTAAACAAGCCCCTATTGGTCACACTCGCATGTCTTGATATATCATTGGTAATGTAGGAAAGAAAGTTCTAAAAAAAGTGTTCTCTCCATTCATGTATGTTTAACCTTTAGAAAACAATTATGATACTGAAAGATGAGTGATGAATATAAAAAGAAGATTCAACTTCCATCTCTCATTAAATTCTTCAGGTGGTGAAAAGACTTTCTTGAACAAAAGCTGAGGTCTCCAAGTTTCTATTTCAGTTAGGCAAAGTTCTTGAAAAGATTTCTTTATCCTAGTCAAGTAAACTTTTTTGTAATATAATGCTAGCTTTACTAGTGATAAGTGAATCCATATATCAGCAAAAAGATAAGTTCCTCAAATGTTCTTCTTAAAGTCACTTTCAGGAATAGCTAAGTTCCTCAAACATCATGAAGTTTAGAGAATATCCAATTAGTCAAACCCCTTTTGAGAGAAAACTGTGAAATGGAGCAAGAACATTTTGAAGTGCTATAATTTGCATTTCCCCTTTTCTTTTTCCCAGTACTAACTTTAGCAATTCATCATTTTTCGGAATAATCAACAGTAACAAACTGTTGGCAATAATCCTAGTTGACTTAGAGACACTATTGCCAAGCTACTAGGAGAATGAAATATTGACCCCTAAATCTAACTTAAAGTACCTAGTTTAGACTTAGTTTTATTTAGTCCAAATTAGCTTAATGGACTCCTCATATTTTTAAGTAGTGTAGTCCTTTAATTAATAATGTACAATAATGAGTTAGTTACTTTGTGAAAGTCTATAAAATATTTAGGTATTCCTCAATATCTCAATAAAGGCATACTATTATGGCATGATTGTAGGTTAAAAAAAAAAAAAAAAAAAAGTAAATTAAAGAGTTATTATTAGAATTTTTTTCTTTTATTTCTTATAATGTACTTATAAATTTTCCTATTTATTTTGTCTTTTAATTTTCTTATTTCTTTTTTTTCTCTTTCTTTCTTTATAAAAATTTTTTTCTATCAATTTGTTAAATAGTTAATATAAAATTTTTTAATATCAATAGTACTAGAATATCTTAAATAAATTTTAATACTTAAGTTATATAGTAAATAATAACAAGTCAATTGATAAATACAAATCAATACACTATATCTAGAAAAAATCAACTTTCAAAAAAATAGTATAGTTAATTATTTTATTTCTTGATATACAGTAATTAATAATACTATTTGTGATATTAATAAACAAAATATTTCTATTAAATAGTACAGTATTATTTTTTATCCTGATTGGATTTGAATAGTTAACCTTTTGTACTATATCTCTCTAAAGATCTATAAATTCTTAGACAATATAGGAATGATATTTGTTCCTGTTGTTACTAAATATGATCATTTATTAATAAAGCATGGAGTTAAACTTAAAATAAGCTAGTGTTAAAATAATAAAAAAAAATAATTAACATGATTGCAGGTTAATAAATAAATAAAATAAAATTAGTATTTGTATACTGTACAATATACTTTACACGCATACATTTTAAAACTTGTTAAAAAAGATTAATTTATTATATTTAAACTAAGTACTTATGATAACTTTAATTCATGACACGTACGAATCAAAAATCAGAATAGAAAACTTAGAGATCAATACGATAAATACTTCTCGATGTCACCTGAATTCTTGAAGACACTACACATACTTTAATCAAAATAAATAGTATCAATTTAATAATCAAAAAATTTACATGCAAGATGAGTTATATACAAAATAGCAATAAAATCACATGCCCGAATATAATACACGGTAATTTGTTCGTATTATGTCTACTGACTTCTGAACTTGGGTTTATACCGAATACCGGAAGATCTAATACGCGTCTGTACTTTCTTAAAGGAGTCAGACTTAATGATCTTGGATAAATTCGTATTTGTGGTATTTGATGAACTCGCATTTCTATTTCTAGATGTAAATCTTTGACGACGAAATTTTAATAAGTATTCTTTAGGAAGAGTAAACTCCAACTTAGCATTGCATAATTCCTCAGGGATACGGAAAAATGTGAATTTTGACGTATCGATGGCTGGTCTTTTCCCAACAAGGTATTCCTTAGGCAACATAAAATCTTCTTCAAGTTCGAGAACGTTATCAGGAATCACAAAAAATTTAAAATGAGGACTCTCATTCTTTAAATCTATATTTGAAGTATCTTCGTTGTTAGATTCTTCACCAGAAAACTCTTCATCAAAATCATTATAACATGCACTTATCCCTGTTCCTGTTTGAATTCCTGTATTACCATCAACACCAAATAATGCATCAAGCTGATCAATAGATGCATCTAACTTTGGATGAATACTTGCAACAAGATTGGCTGGAGGTTCATGAGTATCATTGTCACCATCATCCTCGCCTAGGATCGATTCCAACTCTATCAGGGTGTCGGTAAAGCGCACGTGATGTGGCCTTCTATTCGCAAGACTGCCGAGAAGAATTTTCGTAACAAAATTATTACAACCGGTTACATGTGTGCTAACGTGAGGGTCTTTGTTCTCTCCCCAGACGCATATCATATCATGTTCCAATTCACATCGATTCATTTCTTTTTCCAATTGTTTTTTCCTATCAAACAAACATTGATTGTTGCTCCCACAAGCAAAGGAATCTGGAGTATCCCGACCAATGTCCGTATCAGTCATCATATTTGACAAACTCATATGAGGCAATTCATCCCTATCTTCAGAGGATAGTTCTTTTGATTTTTTTTTCCCTTTATAATTCGGTTTCATGGAGAACCGAGTGACGAAATCGTCGATCGAAGAAAAAAAAAACAAAATTGATTTATGTAAAAAAAAAAAAAAAAGAAATAGTGTATCTATGAGAAAAATTGAAGTTTTTAACAAATTTATGTAAATCTTTTGGGGCGGTATGGTATATTAAGCAGATCCACTTGACTTGATAAACAAAAAATCACTTTAAATATCGGACTCGAAAAATAATATAAAAAGGATCGACCAATTAAATTTCGCAATAACAGTCAATCATTTCTGCGAACGCGTGATTTTTTCACGTGATTATTTACATATTAGTTAGAACGTGGTTTAATACTAATATTTAATAATATTTTTAGTTTCTTATACTTGTTTTTTTATTAATTATAATCAATATGATTTTTTTAAATCCATAATTATGCTATTATGATGTATCTTTATTGAAATATTAAAATAAAATCTTTAATATTACATGAATTTTTATAAATAATTAATTTATCTTTGTATATTATTAATTTTTTTTTTTATAAACTCTAGATCAGGCTAGGTATGTGTGCTTTATTAAACATTTGTATACTATATATTTTAAATGATTTGTCAAAGCTATGACTTTACCTAACTTACTTGTCACTGTTTTATCTTAATATATCAAAACTTTAAGTGTAACTTTGGAAGTAATTTATCACTCCATTAATGATTTAGGTAAATACCCTTCCAACCTTTAACTTCATTGCCTGCAGATCACTACTGCAAATCACTATCCTTTATTCTGATTCAGCTTAAAACCCAACCACTTCATTCTATAAGTAACATCTTTGAGTAGAATTTCTTTCAGACTTTCATTTTTTTAAGTTTCTTTCTCTTATAAAGAATCTTTACTTTTGGGGACTGATAGTTTTAAACTGTGTATACCTGAGGGTTAATTAATTTTTTCTACTTTGTGGATCCCCTATAAATATTCTCATTCAATTATCTTCTCATATCTTTTGTTCCAAATCTTTTTTCTTATTTGGTTATATACTTTTCTTTGCATCTTTAACATCTATCTTTTTGTTTTATTATCAATTCTTTTTCCATAACATTTCAGATTTACCATTTTTAGAATTAGGTCTCTTCTTACTAGCCCTGTACAAAAGCTTAGAGTGTTCTGACTAGTATTTGAGATCTGTTCTATCAGTTTAGAGATTCATTTATTTATCTCGGTCATTTCTTCTTCATCATGGATAATCAATCTTACATGTTTTTCTTCTGCTTCTTTTTTTCTCTTTTGTAAGAACTCTCTGAAGTTTCTAAGAATCCCATCTTGTCCTTTATTCCATGTTTCTTGTAAATGTTTTTTGTATACTGGACACTCTAATAAATATTCAAAAGTTTCACTTTGCTGGTTGCATGCAATACACTTTATTTGTTTGTAAAGGTTAGGCCTTCTAGTTGCCAGCTTGTTCAGAATTGGTAGCTTATTATTCATTAGCTTTATGAGGAAGTTTTTTCACTACGATTGTTTAAAAAAAGTATTTCAAGTGTGTCCTTCTTTCATTCTTTTCTATACCAGGTCCCAAATATGATCTTGCTGTTCTATAATTTGATGGCTCCATCTTTTTTCAGTTCTATTTTGTTGTGTTCACTAGAAGGCAATTGTTTTATTGTTTACTTTTTTAATAAACTGTCTTATTGGGTCATCTAGCATCTTTTTTTGTTATCTAATTTCTGTGATGATCTTGTATAAGATCAGCTTTTTTCATTTTATTGCTGGAAGTTTCAGAGCTTCTTTGGCTAGGACATCTGCTTTTTCATTGTAAACATCATTGAAATATATCTTAACCTTGATGAGTTGCAGGTTTATGGTCTTTTTCTTTATCAATTCTAACATTCAGATCCATAGGGACCAATTTTTTTCCTTTAACCATCTTTTGTGAATTTGCTTTGAATCTTCTCTTTTTATTGTTTTTCACTTAGAAATACAGGCCTGGATATCTGTATAGATTTTCACGTCACTACCCACTGGAATCACCAGAAGTATTGTAACAATTGCTACAAGTTCAGCATGTGTTGAGGAGGACCAACTGTCTACTCCTGTCTAAAATTTACTTTCTCTACCCATATCTTCTATCTGAATCCATGTTGCTCCCATTTTTATTTCTTTTTTTTCATGATTAATGTGTGATCCATCAGAGTAGAGATTAGTTTTTTAACATTAGATCCCAGGTTATGTTGAAGTATTTTTATTAGATAGTCCTAATATACTCCTTCTATAATATTGTCTTTAATGATAACCTCTTTCTATCTTTCAATATCTATCTGATTCACTATATTGGTTGGAGCTAAAGTTTGTGGGTTTGAATCCATGTTAGTAACCTTTTCCATTGTCCCTTCTAGTAATGTCTTAAAGCAGGGGATTGTTAGTTCTTGAGCTCTTCTGATTGACTTTCTTGTATTGAAATATAAAACTTCATATATATCTTTCATATTTTTCTTTAATATATATTCCCTTTCTTGTTTTGTACCCTCTGGACATCCTGGGTATCTTATTAATATTATCGTTTGAATATTATTATTACTACAGCAATTAAAGTGTTGGACATTGACTTTATGTCCTACTTTTGTCTGTTGTGATTTTCCCTAGATTATGTAATGTTCAGCTTTCTTTGTAATTATCTATAGTTTTTGTCATTTGTCATGGTCTGGATTAATTGCAACATATTCTGGTTTCCACTTTGTCCAATCTCTTTTCCATGTACTCATGAGTTGACCTATTCTATTACTTGAAAAAGTTTTAATTAAAGCTTGGAACCATTCAAGAATTGGACCTTTACTAGTATTCTGAAGTAGTTGAAGTATTCGCCAATCCCTAATTTCTTTAGTAGCTTGATCGATTAGCTGGTCTACATATAGCAGTTTATTGTTTCTTGGTGATAGTATGACTTTTCTATATTCTTCTAATGTAAGGTGTTTCTTAATTAAACTATTTCCCTTGTTCCATTAAAAAATTTCTTGCTATTTTCAACTGTGAAAGATTATTTCTATGTCTTTAGCCAACTTCATTATTTGGAGCATGAAGTTTCCTTTATTTGGTATATGATTCAAAGAGTTGTATATTAATAGGTTAAGTGGTTCCCAATTCTTTATCTGTGCTTGTTTAAGTCAAATAATTTTTGTGATTCCTACGGAACCAGGATTATTTAGTCTATTACACAATCCTGTTATTTGATTTTCTCACTGGAGTATCCAGATGCTTTTCAGATTATGAATCTTTGAATGATATATTACACTATTAGGTATAAATCTACATAAGGTACTCTTGTTTTTTAAGAGTTTTCTATATACTATCATTAAAGTATTACATATTTTCCAGAATAGTATACTATACTGTATCCTGAATTCTATTCTTGAAATTAATACCCTGTTTAGAATATACAGGGTTTATTTATTTTTAATTTCTTGTTCTTAAGAGCTCTAGTTACTATGTTGATCTCTTTTAGCATCCTCTCTTTGGGTTCAATTCTAGTTTTTTGATTGTTGATCCAGATTCTTAGAAATCTTGTATGTTCTTCCTTGCTGAGCTCCTTTACCACTTTTTTTTTATACTGATCTGAACTTCTTCTGGATAGCAATTAGAATTGTTAATAATAATTAGGACTGATTTATTACTATTGATTTGGGAATTATTGACTTTGTAGAAGACTCTCACAGTTTCGAGGATTTCTTCCATATCCTTTTTGAATCTTGCTATTCATGTCATATTATCCATAAAGGCTATGGCCGCATGTCTTGATTCCAACCTTCTTATGGTTTGTCCTTTAAGATCTGGATTCTAGGTGATCAATATTTTGTATCTCCTTTCCTTGTCATTTTGAATCTTGCAGAGTAAAGGATTATAGAATATTCACCATAGCAATAGTAAGATGGTTTTCTCTTGATCGATACTATTCTCTGCTTTTATGGATTCTATGAGGTCATTTTCAAAGATGACTTGAAATTCTCTGTCTTGAAATAGGTTCAGCATGATCTTAATAAAACCTTTGGATATTCTGATCCTTTCCATTGCTTTAACTAGTATATTCAAACTAATTGTGTCATAGGCTTTAGCGATATCTTAAAAAATATTCACAGTTCCTTTTTATTTTCTCTTGCATCTTTACAGATGTTGTTGAGAATTTGGATTGGTTCTGATATACTTTTTCCAGGGAGATTTATGAAGTTGGGACCTTTGAAGATGTTATTGACTTTATAGATATTTTTCATCCTATTAGTAAGGATTTTTGTGAAACACTTTTTTGTGACTTCCAATAAAACTATTGATCTTATGTTTATTAGTTTACACTTTCACAGTTTTGGTTTGGCTATGGGGTATATATAGCTCTGTTTTCAACAAGTAAGGGTTACTTCCCATCTCAAGAAGTTATTTAACATTCTTTTCAGGATTTTCTTTTTCTCTTGACTTGGTTTCTTAAGTATTTTGTAGCTAATTTGTGACTGTCCTGATGCCTTGTTGTTTGGAAGTGTTTGAAGTATTTCATCTAATTCTACTTGTGAGATTGGCTCGAGAAGATCTTTATACCATAGTTCCTTGATATAATCCTTGGGTCTATACTCCTCTTTCCAGTCTTCTATAAAGCTATTGAAGTTAGCATCTCTTTTTTTAAATACTTCTAGATGGTATCATCTTAATTCTTTTTCTATTTCACCTGTTTTGATTGTTATGTATTTTGTATCATCCTGTATAACCTTAACTCTGTCCAACACTATTTTGCTTCTTGTTCTATTTGTTAAGAAGCTTACCATTCTTCTCTAATTGAATTCTAGATCATTACATCATTGTTTCAAAGCAACCTTGATTGCATCTCTTGTTTTCTTGACTTTAATCCTTTGACTGATAAATTTCAATCCCTCCATTGTATCCTGGATATTCTTTTTCAATAATGATCAGGACATGTTGGAGATGCTATATTGGATATAATGGTTTTTGATCTGATGATTAGGGCTATATGTTGCATTATGTTTCTTTATTGACAAGCTGA